AGAATTTAGGTTGTTCTCTATAACTAATCTAATACTTTATACAAAAGTGACTATTCTCTCCATAGAAACAAAAAAGGTTTCTGAAGCTGAGAAGTGGAAAGCAGTCACAAAACCAAGTAGGAATGCACATGGCACGGGCTGAAATGAAAGAACACTCACTAAAGACGTTAGAAGCCACAGATAACCAAAAGTGGCTAGGGAAGGCTGGGTGCGGTGGCTCATGGCTGTAGTCCCAGCACTTTGGGAGGCCAAGGTGCGCAGGTTGCTTGAGCCCAGGAGTTTGACACCAGACTGGGCAACATGGCAAAATCTTGTGTCTACACAAAATACACAAATTAGCCAGATATGGTGGTACACACCTGAGGTCCAAGCTACTCAACACACTGAGGCGAGGATCTCTTGGGCCCAGAAAGCCAAGGTTGCAGTGAGCCAAGGTCATGCCACTGCACTTAAGCCTGAGTGAGACCCTGTCTGGAAAAAAAAGAAAAGGCTACAGAAAAGGTGAAATGCCACGGCCACCTTGACAGGAAGCTTCTGAAAAAAAATGTAGTAACTAAAGGGTCTTGTTTTCGTTGGCATGTTGGGAACAAGAGCAGACCTCTTATCTGGACCTTCAATCTTTGGTCCTGACTGGCTGACACTGGGACTATGCTTAGCAAATCTGTGACTGCATGGTTAATAGGAGACAAATTAGTCTTCTGTTTCTAGCAATCAATTCTGAAAACCTTTCTGCAGGGAGATAATTCAGGGAGAATTACATTCAACTTTTGACAGGCATCTTTAACGCATGTCTGACTGATCAGTTAGCATAAGAGAGAACTAAATTACTTTGAAGTTACTAAAAAAAGTAACATGGTTTATTTTCCATTTTACTTGAAACAAACACAATGGTGTTTATATTTCCATTTGATTCACTTTGAGAGGGGATGTAAAGTCTGCTTTTCAAAGAAAACCATATGTAAGATTAGTAACATTCAAAGCTATAGTATCAGATTTGTGAGAGCTCTGCTGACACAGGGTTTTGGCTCCACTGGGAAATGGAGGGAAACAGGGCCAGCAAAATGTATTTAACAAAGAGATTTTACCCACGTCACTGCCATAGACTCATAAAGACTTGCAGAAATGAGTAATAGCATAGATTATAATTAGGTCTGTCTTCCTTTCTGCTGTGAAATGCTATGACTGCTGTTAGATGAAACAGAAAGAATCTCACTAATTCTAACTTTGCTAATCTGCATTTGCAGTAACTCATCACACAAGCAGTCTCACCCCATTTCTCTGTAAATATTTTGCAGTCAAGAGCAGTGGTGAGGTCTAAAATCATTAAGACTGGATTACTTTTACAGAGGACTGTAGATGACAGCACATTTGCTGGAACACGATGCAGTGCCATCCGTCACTCATAAATAACAATACTGGTATTTGCACAGCGCCTTTCCCTAACACTCTTCAGAAGCCTTTACAAACTGCTTCATTAATCGCCCACTTTCAGAAGAGGCACCCGGCCAGTGGTGGAATCCTCTGTCGAGCTGCTGAGGTTCCAATAGGCAACAGCCTTTCTGGCCGCTCCCACTGGGTCACTGGCTTAGAGGTGTTGATAACAGACACTACAAACAGTTGGGTCAGAATAGTTTCTTTTTTGACCAAGTTTTCACTCTTGTTGCCCAGGCTGGATCACAGTGGCGTGATCCCGGTTCACTGCCACCTCTGCCTCCCACGTGCAAGCGATTCTCCTGCCTTAGCCTCAGCCTCGGCCTCGGCCTCCCTAGTAGCTGGGACTACAGGCATGCACCACCAAGCCTGACTAATTTTACATGGGTTTCACCATGTTGGCCAGGCTAGTCTCAAACTCCTGACCTTAGGTGCTCTGCTTGCCTTGGCCTCCCTAAGTACTGGGATTATAGGTGTGAGCCACTGCGCCCAGCCCTGGGTCAGGTTTTTAAATGGTAGTGTCCTCAGTATTTCAAAAGTAAGATGGCTGCTAATTGAATGAGTTAAATGTGTCAAGTGCTTAGAAGCGTGTCAGCACATTGTGACACTCAACAAACTTCATTAGTGTTTGCAGTAATTCTGCTGCCTGAAGCATGGAGAGGGCCACCTGCATCCCTGTGTACACGGGAGAGAGCTCAGAGCGGGGTAAGGTGTGGGCCCACTACGCTATGGTGTGTACACGGGAGAGAGCTCAGAGCCAGGTAAGGTGTGGGCCCGCTATGCTATGGGGGCAGTGAGGAGTGAGATGAGGGGAAACTCAGGAGTGCTTATTGAGTAGTTTGTGCCACCCCTTGGGAATAAAAAGATCGAGAAGACCCAGCTCTGGAAGCAAGAAGATAGGCAGAGAGGCGAACGCTGGTGCACGAAGGAAAACAAGGGAATTGCAGGAATGTACAGGAGGGGATATGGGCCAGACAGCAATAAAGAGAAGACACAAAAGAACATTAAGATAGTCACTGTAAGAGAATTTTATTATTTTCGATTGACGGTTTAGGTACAAGTCTGTTATCCAATTTAAGCACTTAATGAAAGAATTTTGACATTTTTCAGGCAGTTATTTTGATTTATGAACTGTGCTCCTGGCTATCCTCGATGATTATACTTTATTGTAGTGGGCTGCCTTCTTTTTTTCTTTTTTTTAAAACTATTTACCCTGCAACTGCCTACTCTGGCAATGCCAGACTAAACAAGCGGAGCTTCCAGCTGAAAAAAGGTTCACACAGGGTCCTCTGTCACACCTAGGAGAGTGCATTTGAGGAGTGCTGCTGGCATTTGAGGGGTGCTGCTCTCAGGCCACTCTTCTAACTATGGCCTTGAAGATACATGACAGATGGTGACAGCCACCCTCAAGGGCTCACCCCATAAATCTAAAGGAGCTGCCCTTAAGTCACCAGAGGAGTTTACCTGTGGGATGAACAGCGCTAGTGCCCTGACGCTGCAGAGTGACAGGAGAGCCACTGAAGCAAAGGCAGCCCCACCCTGCAACTTGCCCCAGGCCCAAACCTCGAATTTCATAAAAGAGGAAAACTGAACCCAGTGAAGTGTGAAGTGATTTCTTCAAACTTAGAACCCAAGCTCACTGCTACACTAGCACAAATAGGTTGCCTTGTCCCTCTTCAGGGGTAAATAAGCTACTTACTCTGTAATTCACAAAGCCTAACTGTTTACTCTGCAATTCAAAGAAAATCAGAGTCCAGCAAAAAATTTCTCCCAGGGAGTTAGTATGCACAGTTTATACCGCTGATCTTGAAAATCTCCATATGGGCACTTTGGGAGGCCAAGACGGGCAGATCACCTGAGGTCAGGAGTTCTAGACCAGCCTGGCCAACACTGCGAAACCCCGTCTCAACTAAAAATACAAAAATTAGCCAGGCGTGGTGGCAGGTACCTGTAAACCCAGGTACTCGAGAGGCTGAGGCAGGAGAATTGCTTGAACCAGGGAGGCGGAAGCTGCAGTGGGCCAAGATCCCACCACTGCACTCACAATGCAACACAACTTCCCCCCAAAGTCTATTCTCCATTACAGTGGAATGATTTTCTAAAACCCCATGCCTCTTAAGTCCTCTGGCATCAGACATTTTTCTTCCCTAGTGCCAGTTAGTTTCGTTGTTGAGAGCCTCCATCACCACTGAAAAACATTGCCTACTCTGAACTGCAACATATTTAAAGAACGCTCCTATTCATCGTGCTGGGGCAGGGAGAATTCCCGCCCTATAGTGGAGGACAGCAGGGGAGAATAACGGGAATCATCTTTTTTTTTTTTTTTTTTTGAGATGGAGTCTCGCTTTGCTGCCCAGGGTGGAGTGCTTTGGCTCAATCTCGGCTCGCTACAACCTCTGCCTTCCAGGTTCAAACCATTCTCCTGCCTTAGCCTCCGGAGTAGCTGGGATTACAGGCATCTGCCACCACGCCCTGTTAATTTTTGTACTTTTAGTAGAGAAGGAGTTTCGCCATGTAGCCAGGCTGGTCTTGAACTCCTGACCTCAGGTGATTCACCCTCCTTGGCTTCACAAAGCGCTGGGATTACCGGCGTGAGCCCCCCGCACCTGGTCGGCAATCTTTATTGTACAAGAAAATGGTACAAATGTGCCACCACAAGAAGCCATGTTTCTCAAAGGCTTCTGTTCCTAGAAGACTGCTTATTACACTAAGGCGTGCTTAGTTAAGACTCTAAAAGAACCCACGCATCCACACATCGAGGTGACTTGGCTTGAGACTCAAGGCCTTTGATCTTCTCACCAGTGCCCCTCCATATGGACCGACTGCCACTGGAAAGGACGGTAGAACTGGAAACAGACCCGTCTGGACAGGGTCCAAAGTGCAAACAGGAACTGTGCCCAGAGAGGGAGGAGGTGGCACGAGCATGAAGGCTGTTTAGATCCCTATGTTCTAACAAAGACCGCTCTTTCCTTGCTTTAACTGCCTTGGCTCACAAGTTTAGGATTTGCTCAAAAAAAAAGAAAAAGCACCTCTGGGGAAAAAAAAATTCGGGATGTGGAAGAAACTGGCGGTGAAAGTCATACTGAGTGATTAATGATAAAAATTATTTCCGCTCCTTGGTTCCTGAGTCGGTATAAAACACTGGCAGCCTCTAATCAATCATCATGATATTAACACCGCTGACTTTTCATTGTTTCTGTTATTTTCCTTCTAGACATCTGCACGATGTAAGTAAATATTATCCGCCAGAACTTTTTCATATGTTGTGCAACTGGGCTCGCCCACGGCACCGGGGCCTGCGCGCTATCGCTCCGCTACGCGACGGCCCGCGCGCCTCGGGAAGAAACGCTTCTCCGCCGCGGGCAAGCGGGGCCGAAGCTCCCGCGGGCTCGTCCCGGACCTCGGCGCCCGAGCTCTCCGCGGCCCGCGCCCCTCGAGAGGGCATCGGGGCCGGGACCTCGTCTCAGCGCCCACCGGGGCCCTTCCCGCGGAGCCCCCGCCCGGCGCCCCCGGGTTCGAGCCCGCCCCCGGCACCCACGCGTCGAGAGAAAGGGGAAACGAGTCAGTACCGGCGGGCGGGTGTCCAGCTTTAGTCTCTAGTTTTCCTTCGGGAGGCGAAGACATGGCGCGACGGGGCTTCCGCGGGGCCGAGGCGGCGGCGCGGTTCTCNTGTGTGTGTATGTGTGTACACTGCCTCTCTCTCGTGAGCCCAGCTGTCTGGGGCTGCAGAAGGGCTGCACGCTGATGTTCTTCAGGACTTTGCTCCCACAGCAGAGCAGCCATCTGTCCCCATGGTGTACAAAAATGGGGCCTCCCCCACAGCTGCCGATAAATCCCCCAACTCCGGGGAGCTGAAGGCTGGTCCACAGTGCCTGGCCTGCCACTCACCCCCTTTTCAATGTCTGCCCCTCCAGCCCTGGTCCACCTCATTCCAAGGCCAGTAGCCTGAGAGCCGAGAGCCAGGAAACCGCTGGTGAGGACTGGCTTCCAGCAGGGTCAGCTCAGGAGATGGGGGTGAGGATGCAGCCCCCGTATGTATGCAGAGCCCAAGGACTGTCTCAGTGGGCGTCCAGCATGAGGCCCGGCAGCAGGGAAGCCGCTCCCCTCCCCTTGCCAGTCCTGGGGAGAAGGGGCATGACCATTCTCGGGTTTCATGACCACGGCCTTCTCAACCCTGCAGGGCTGTAGATATTTATTCCGTAATTTTCACAGCAGGACTGCACACTCTACCACAAAGCATTAAACGCGTCAAAATACAATCCTTTTATGGGGAGCAGATTGAAAAATCCATCAGCCTGTACCCATCTATCACCAGTGCTGACAGAAACCACTGCAAAGAGAAAAACAAACATAAATAAGGTTTGTTTGAGTATGCTGGAAACGGCTGTGAGGTCCCGGGGGGCCCACGACACCGGAGCTGAGCTTGCCCGAGGCCGGTGGGGCGGAAGGACGGTCCCTGGCCCCAGGCCAGGTGTGGCAGCTGGAGCGTGGGCTGCTTCTGAGCTGCCGGTACCAGGCCCAGGGCCTCACTTCCTCCTGTGGGATAAGCAGACCCACCTGATGCCCGCCCCCTCCCAGGCAGCAGGTGGAAGCAAGTCCTGTAAAGGAGGCAGGAGCCAAAGCCTCTGTCCAGGGTCTGATCCTCCTGGCTTGCAGGGAAGCCCCTCCCCAGGCCAGCGGCTCCCACGTTGCACTTTGCAGAGTTCCCTTACGGCTTGAGAAGCATTGCCTCCGAAAGTTCTAGTGCTGCCAAGTAGACACTGTGACCACTCCTGTGGTGGGTGGGGGCCTGGGCACCTGGCACAGTGCCTCTCTATTGACTCCAGGACTAAAAACCAAATTCTGGGACAAAAGTGGGCCTGGGTGGTCTGGGCACCCATCCCCCGCCCCACGCACCATGCCCTCCCGTCCCACTGGAGCACCGTCGAATTGCGTGCTGTGCTCTTTGAGTTCAGGACGCATGCTGCCGCTGCCCCTCTGCCTAGAACACAAGCCTCCTGTCCCTCCCTGCCTCTACTCCCCGTCCCCCACATAAGGGCTCCCCCACTTCCAGGTCTTGGATTGATGCCTGAAGTTTCCTCTGGGAAACCTCCCTGCTCCATGCCTCTCCCCTCACTGCCTGGTTGCTGCTGCCCCATCCCCCTTCCTGGGGGGCATTCCTGGAGGAGCCCTGCGGCTGGGTCTCTGGTTGGGGCATGGCCGAGGACAGTGCCCTGGTACCCATGCTGCACGAGTGAGGCCTGGGGAAGGCAGCCAGGGCAGAGCTCATCAGGAGAGGCTTCTCAGAGGAGGAGGCACAGAGGTCAGGTGCCAGGATGGGAGCCCCGTGGGGCTGGGGTGGTGGGTTGTGCTGGGAGTCCTTCTGGGGTGGGGACTGAAGCCCGGGTGCAGCCAGCAACTGTGGCTGTGATTGTGGTCGTCACCCCTGGCTCTCTCTCCTGAGTGTGCTGAAGGCTGGCTGCTCCCATCGCCATCCTGGTGGGTGCGTGAGTGTGACCTGAGAGAGGCGGGAGATGGCTCAGCCTCCCCCAGGCTTCTTGTAATCACAGGTCCTCCCAGTAGCCCTGGGAAGCTGCAGAGGTGGGTGGGGAGCCCTGAAGCGCTCAGGTATTCAGGAGAGCCCTGTCTCACCTGCACACGGTGGGGCTCACCAACTCCCAGAGTGGGCGATGCAGCCCCTCCAACACCACCTGCTCCCATTTCACTACCTTCTCAGAGCCTGGGGTCCCCAGGAACCCAGCTGGCCCCCAAGTGTGGCTTCTCACCCTGAACCCCTTCTCCCACTGCACAGATTTTCATTCCGTGGCCGCCTGGGAGGGCCGGGCGAGTGCCTTCCTCTTACAGATGGAGATGGGGCCGCTCAGAGAGTTGGGCAGAGCCCCTGCTGCCCCACAGCAGTCACTGTCAACCCAGGAGTCCCGACCAGTTCACTGACCCTGGAGGAGGTGGGACAACCTGGTCAACTTTAAAGAACTGAGCTAGGAGTTGACGAAACATTCATTCTACGTTAATGGTTTGTTTTTGGCATTTAGTTGTTCACGAAATTCTACAACACCAAAAAAACAGCCAACGCAGGGGGAGCAGGGGGAGCAGGGGGAGCAGGGGGGAGGGAGGGGGGGCGGAAAAGGGAGGCAGGGCTCAGCTGGCTGCGGGCCCGGAGTCGCGGGAGGTTAAATAGGGTGCAGCGTGAGGCTTGCTCCTGCAGTGAGCGCGCTCAGCCAGGCCCCGGCTACGCGGCGGCGGCGGGGTGGCGGCGCCCACAGTGCGGGCCGGGCCCGAGGCGGCCGGTGGGGAGGCGACGGTCCGCTGAGGCCCTCCGTCCCTGCCGCCGCAGCGCCTAATGAAGCGCGGAGAGGAGAGACGGCCGCGACCGGGGCCGAGGGAGCAGGAACTTGTTGAAAGACGAGCACAGGGAGAGCCTGCTTTCGGAGTGCGGGGCAGAGTTGGGGGACAGCGGGGGTGGCGTCTGTGCCCTGCCCTCCGCCGTTATAAACCAAAAATAAAATTCTAAGCCTGCAGACGAGGGATGGGCCCTCCCCTCCGCCGGTGGCCTTCTAAGTTATCCTGAAAAACTAGCTCAGGCCTTGATGGGAAGTGGAAGTCAAACGTGGCCTTACAGACATCCGCACAGAGACCCTGAGACTAACAGACCGACTCTTTAAGTCTGATAAACATTTGCAGTGTATTCCCGGGCTTCATCTACGTGACAACACCTTGGTCTCCACAACCCCTCAGTGCAATCCGGACACCTACTTCTATTGAGTCCAGGTCTTTAGATGATAACTCTCAACCTACTGCCAATCAGAAAACCTTTAAATGTACCTATGGCCTGGACGCCCCCACTTCCCGTTTACCTCCCAAAGAGCTACCTACCTCTTATGTATTGACTGATGTCTCATGCCTCCCTCAAATATATAAAACCAAGATATACCCCGGCCACCCTGGGCACATGGCATCTCATCAGAACCTTCTGAGGCTGTGTCCTTAACCTTGGCAAAATAAACTTCCTAAATTGATTGAGACCGGCCTTACAGACTTTTGGTTTTTGCCATCGTCTTCCTGTTGCCGTGGCTGATCTTTCACTCTTGTGTCTTGGGTCCTGTTCTCGCCTTCCTCAGTGCTTTGCAACTGCGGTTAACTTCCGCACTTGCTGGATTCGCATTCAGACAGGCTCCGTCGCTTTCGCGAAGGAAACGCCACCCCTCTCTTGGCTGTACTTTTCCCTTTGACAACAAAACTGTTCAGGGTGGTGGGGTCCTCATCCCTTATCACCCCTTCCAGTTCAGTTTGTCTGGTGTTCATCAAGCTCTGCTGCGCTGCCCTCAACTGTGGGAAGTCCTTTTGTGGAAGTCACTTATAACCTGTGTGCTGCCAGATCCAACGGTCATTTCCCACTTTCATTCTGCTTGAGCTCTTAGCAGCACTTGATGCAGCTGGCGTCCCCCTCCTCCTTTGCTCCAAAGGTCCCACATCCCTCACTGCCTGACCCCCCAGTTCTCTGGCCATCCTGGCTGGGCACTCTGTCAGATTTGCGGTTCTCCCTCTTCTAGATTTATTATCATTTGAGCATCCCAAGGCTCAGCTTTGGCCTTCTTCTTTATCCAGACTTCCCATAGAGAGTCACATGCAGCCCTATGCGGACAACTATCATGCAGATGCTTCCGGGTGCCAAATCTGCAAACCCATTTCTCTATTTCTGCCCCTCCACTAACTCCAGACTGATTACCACCACCTTGGCTTACCTGTTTATTGTCTAACTCAGTGCTGCCCAACTCCTTGTGCGTCAGGGCTCACGTGGAAATGCCGATACAATACGTTGTTCTTGCATTCCCCACTCCATATTTCAGCATCACTGATAGGATAACTGTTGGCCAGGCAGCAGCCATGATATGCTCGTCATTGTCTTGCATTCACATCAAAACTTGCAAGTGGGTGCCAGCAATTTACAAGAGAGTCCTGAAATTAATACTGGGGTACTCTAAAGAGACACCGCATCACTCACATTCTTGAAGGTTTAAGAATACCTAACCGATTAATTTCATGAGCAATTTCCTTTATATATATGTGCACAAGTGCTATATAGTTAAAAACTCATGTCTTAAGCCTAAATAACTACTTCTTGGAAGTATAAAATGAAAGAGCTCATTGTGGTATCATTTAATTGGCAGTGTTTTTACCCTTAGTGGTACCTAAACAAAGTTCCATGTTATGAGTGACAGCATCTTAGACTCAATAACAAATGCTATTAGTAAGGAACCCTGGGATTAAAAAAAAAAAAAAAAAAAAAAAAAAAACCCGAGAAAAAAAAAAAAAAAAAAAAAAAAAAAAAGGCCCTTCATAGTGACGGAATGTTTTCTCTTTCCGGGTCCACAAGGGGGCGCAGTTTTAAGGGCAAGAACTTCCCAGAGCCATGCCCCACTCCCGTCTCTCTCCATGTGGAGATTTAACTGCCTCTTTAAATTTTTGTGGGTGTGGGAAGGTCAAAAGTCAATCATTCCTTGGGAGGTTCTAAGGTACTCCTTTCATTGGCCTGAGGTCTTAGAGAAGGTGGGGGTTCCTCCCAGGTTAAAAGTCCCCGTCTTCCACACCTGTTTGGACTTCATGTTTGGATGCACGCCCCCCGCCACTGGAAAGTTCTCTCTCTTCCTCTCCTTTTTTTCTCT